CTGCACGTTGTAGATGATATCATTAGAGCCACTGATAGAGGAGATATAACAGTTTTGATTGTGCTGGATTTCACTAGAGCTTTTGATACCATCAATCATGAACTGTTGATGTCCATACTCCATTACATAGGATCCTCAGAGCAATCTATTACATTACTGCGGAATTACTTGACTGGAAGAAAACAAATGGTGCGTTTTGATGAAATTCGCTTGGAATACCTTCATATTAAATCGAGTGTACCACAAGGTTCCATTCTAGGACCACTGCTTTTCAATATCTACACTTCTTATCTCATCAGAAGCTTGAATCATTGTAACGTCCATCTGTACGCTGATGACACACAAATATATTACAGCTTTCCACCGCAAATGTTCGATGATGCTATGCAACTGATGAACTTGCCTCTTTTATCAAATCCGCTACCAAGCATTGTCTTCTCATTAACCCGAATAAGTCGAATATTTTAACGTTTGGCCCGCAACAAAAGAGAAAAATAATCGAGGAAATGGTTAGAATAAACGTTATGGGTTCTCCAATTCATAACGTTGGAATGGTGAAAAACTTGGGGGTTCTTATGGACAACAGCCTAAGATTCGAAAACCACGTCATGAAGCTTATTCAACGAGCAAACGCCTCTATAAAACTGATATATGGGAGCAGACATTATCTCACTGGGAAGGTAAAAATAACTGTGTGCGAGACTCTTTTACTCTCTCACTTCATTTATGCAGATGTTCTATATGGTCCAAATTTGACTGATATATGTAAACGTAAAATTCAGACTGTTCAGAATTCATGTTTACGTCTGATCTTTGGGGTGAGAAGAAGGCAAGCGATTTCGTTCACCTTAAAACTAGCTGGGTGGCTAAACATGGAGAGCTAAACATGTTTTGTTTCATAATATAATAACAACGAAAAAACCGCCTTATTTATATAATAAAATAACATACAGAACTGATGTACACAACGTAAATATTAGGCATAAGCATGCCTTAACCCCTCCTCAGTTTAGAACTTAGTTTTTCAGAAGATCGTTCACATATCAAATTTTCAAATTATATAATGCTTTACCGTATCAAATTAAATTAAATACAATTTCAAACATCAAAGACAGCATACAAAATCATCTTCTCCTGCAATAGATTTTATTATTAGGATGGTAGTATATATCACCCAAGTTTAATCAGTAGTTGCCCTTATTCTTTAATTAACTTTAAAAATTATATATTTTTTTCGTTTAAATTTTACTCTAAAAAGAGATATTCGAAGAGGTATTTCGAGGTTAAGCGATGAAAATGAACTGAACTTCGCCTTTTATTTTCCTGTAATAAAAAATTTCATTGTATAAAAACTGTTAACTATACCAAATATTGGAAATAATAAAGACGAATTATTATTATCATTATTATTATATTTATGACAAATGAAGTCATCAACTTTTGATACTAATACGAAATCGATATGTTTTTGGCTAATATAGTTTAAAAAAACATTGAAACCGCGATTATAACGTTTTAGCTATGACAATATCCCAAACATTGTTTTTCCTTTTAAGTCAACGGAATGAGAATAATGTATTCAATCTTGAGTTAGGTTAGGTCTAAAGTGAGTGGGTCTATTGGATCCCCACCGCAACCCGTAACGGTTTATTATGGCTCACACTTATTCAGACACGGGCAAATAAACCCAACTTCGTAACACTCGGGCAAATAAACCCAGCTTCGTAACGAAGCCGATTAGTTTGTATGGTGAGTGGTCTTTCAGGTTAGATGGTAAGAGTACGGCTCTGCCAAACTCCAAGAACCTGATTAGGTCCCCAGCGGGGCAGGCACAAAGTATATGCTCTGCGGTTTCATCATTTTCCAAATAGAGGCGACACACACTGTCTTCCGACAGTCCAAGTCTCAGCATATGATGATTCAATTGACAGTGACCAGTAAGAAGGCCTGTTAGACATCGTAGTTCATCCCTACTGTAGTCCAATAACTGTTTGGTATCAAGCTCCGAAGGGTGAATAAACGCCTTGGAGTGATCCAATCCTGGAAGATTCCGCCAGAAGTACATGAACCTTCTTGCCATCCAGGTGTTCAAAGTTTATTTGGCAAAGCCTATAGCGATGCCAATGTCAGGTTCTGGTTCGATGAAGCTGCTTGCAGCACCCTCCTTTGCAAGGGAGTCAGCAGCTTCTTTGCCAGGCCAGTATGGCCAGGAATCCAGACTAGAGACAATCTGTTGAGTCTTTCTATCAAGAAGAGTCGTTTTTGGCAATTTGCTACCAATTTAGACGTTGCTCGGTAGAAACCAAGAGCTACCAACGCCGCTTTTATTGACTTGAGTGTGAAGTTGTATTTATCCAATCTCTCCGCACACAATTCAATAGCGTAAATTTTTGCTCAAAATACAGTCGCATGGGTTCCTAGGCAGGTAGATATCTCTGTCCTGGGTCTGCGACTGAAAACACCTGCACCAGAACCGGAAGGTGTTTTTGATCCATCTGTGAACCAACAACTATCTGCTCCTAAACGCAGTTCGTAGTTGACAGTTGGAGGCATAAAGTCATAGGTCATTTCCAGAATGCTGTGACTTCCAGTGTCAACCAACAGTCTGTTGCACTCTGCATTAAATTGATTTGTGCAATTGGCAATGTGCACAAGTCTCTATGCAGTCCATCTAGCCTCTCCCTCCAGAAAAATGTGGAGGAGGTTGATCTACAAGGATATCCATGGCCGCTGACGGTGTGGTACTACTGATGGCACTACTGATAGCCAGACAAACCTGTCTCTGAAAGACAGAGAGCTTCGCTTGGGCCGTTTTCTGTAAAGTTTTCGGCCACCAGGAAATTGCACCATAAGTGATCATTGGTCTAACAATCATCACATAAATCCAGTGGACTTGTTTGGGAACTAAACCACAAATCCATATCCGACATGTCCATAGAGACAGTCTGGCTTTTTTTGTTTTTTATCAAGGATAATGCCAAGATATTTCACCTCCGTTCCAAATGGAATGACCTCAACATTGAGGAAAAGTGGGGTTAGATCTTCCAATTTTCTCCTCTTGGTGAAGGGGATTAACACAGTTTTGCTGAGGTTGACAGACATCTGCTCCCTCAGGCACCAACTGTGAACAACTGTATTCAATCTTACTCTCTATGTTCCAATGACATAACATTTGTAGCAAATCAGGCAGAAAATTTTGCAGAAAATAATTATTTTCATCTCCTAGTAACACTATTCAAAACTATACAAACTCGTCATCTTCTATCACTATGACAAAACATTGACATTTACAGGAAAGACATCAGAAAAGATAAGTAAATTACTAACGAAAAAGAACATAGCACAAAAAGTAAACCTGCTGGAATTCCTGTAAATTTTTCAAATAAAAATTCAATTAACACATTCAATTCAATATGTAGAAGAAAAGAAATATTTTGAAATAAAATTTTGAAATATTAATCTCTACCAACTACCTACATCGTAGGTTTTGGTATATGTATGCCGGAAAACAACTAATTCCCCGGCTAATACCACGCTGGATATTGAATGTCCCCGATTGGGGCTTATAAAAAACTTAATTTAAAAACGAATGCTTCTCCTGGTGACACTTTTATATTCGTAGGTTAGATACTAGTGACATTTCAGAAAAAAACGGTTGGTATTTGTCGTCACCTACTATTTTAAATTCGTAGATTTGAATTTTTAGTTTGACGTGAGAGAAAAATACAAAACGAATTTGAACGAAATTTATAATCTGGTGAAAGTAAGAAATAATTTAATTCTATATTTGGTTCAAGTAGGAGTGTTTGCAGCAACAATACGTTCTACTAATTGCAATGAAGAGTGCAAATTAAATTATGACACTTTAAGGTATAGATGCATTAGAAAGCGGATTATGAAAATACCGAATAAAAAAGCTCAGTACATTTGTTGTAATTTTAGGAAAAGTGCCAAAAACCAATGTACGAGCTAAAGAATGAAGGCAAAAAACATTTGAATTACTTTAGGAATATTGACTGTATCAGTCGTACCAACCATATCATTAACCTTAAAAACGTATAATACAGTGATATGTAACCAAAAAGCAGCTTCGTACATTTTTTAACATTTTTATAAGAAAAATGTTGATTATTGAAGTGAAAAGTGTTAAAGAAGGAGGAATAAGGTGTAAAGGTGACCTAGTGAATAAATGCTTGTGTTTTTAAATAGTTTATATTTTGTGAAAAAGAAGGCTGAAAAGTCGCCCTTTTCTGAACTTTGAAGGGCCGTAACTTTGTAAATAAGGAAGAGCGCCGCTTTTTTCTTTCGGATTTGTAATTTACGCATCAAAATAGGTAAGTACAGTCAAAAATTTTTTCAAAATCGCCGTTCACAAAACGAAAATTTACCGTTAATAATATTAGTTCAAATGATAACCGACATTTTCTGTTGAAATTTCTAAAAGGTGTCATTTTGAACGTTGTCCAGCTTCTGTTTTATTTTAGTTACAGTTCCTTTTCAGCCGGATCAAAGTCACTATTAGTACTTAGAATCCACGCACATATTGCAATCCCCTCGTAACAATCTTCCCTGACGTCATGGTATAATAATGACCAAATTTTTCAATTTATTCATGAGCTATTTCATTTTCGACATACTATGTTTTTGCTTTTCTTTGCAGAATGTGAAAAAAGTGATAATTTTCCAAATTTTAGTACTCAGGATACGCGCTAATTTACTTTTTAATAGTATTCATCACATAAGAAAAGTCTTTGTCAAGTAAACAAAGGTAAGTTTTTCATACTGTTTATTTCCTTACGCATAATACCCAAAATTTTTATATTTTCCACGTCAACTGTCAATTCCAATATTATCAGTGAAGAAAAATACAAGGTTAAAATTAACAATACTTTTTGATGTCCCCTTGTACATGAGATCCGATCTACTACATCTTAGTAACGATGCCTCTACATTCTTCTTCTTTTCTTCCCACAATCACCATCACCAACTATATAACTTACCTAGAAGCGAAATCAAGGAACCCGTGGCGATCACTTCAACTTCCGGTTGTCAAAATAGAAGTTGTTCCTGTCTACCGCCGCCGTCAATTCAGAAAATTAACTTACGATACTGACGATGTTAAATACGCTGACGAAAACGGGTACTGCAAACATTGGATTATGCGCGGGAAGCTCATCGTAGAGCCGGCAACAGCGTCGGCCTAGGTCGGACCTCCTCACGCTCTTGCTGCCTGTTTCCAATTCACGTTGAACAAAACAGCAGTTGTTGCGGTCCGTGTTTGTGGAAAACTGTTACCTTAACGTTTTGAGTGGTTTATGGGGTGTTTTTCGATGAGAGAATCCAACTGTTGAACCGTTTTTGTAGTGGTAAGTACTTACAATTAATTAATCATTACGTTATCAACATTTCCGATACTTAACCTCAATGTTCCCGTTGTCTGATTCTTCCGGTTCACTTCACAGGCTAGAAACGATTTTATGAGAATGCGAAAGGCGCGGGATAAACCTGATTGATTGAGAGGAAATTGTTAGGTTATATCTAGGTTTCAGCACTAACCGGATGTTTTGTTTCTCTCTTGTTCATATTGTCGGGTCGTACTTGATCTCTTTTTCAAATGTTATTATACAGGCGAGATATGCGTGCTTGTTCAGAATGGTGGGGGTGTTACGTCATTGGCGTCGCTAGGTTTAGGTTAATTCGTTATGTATACAGAGGTTCCTCCGCCACTTAGGTTGTGGTGTGTTGATGGAAATGAGGTTTGTGTACTCGATCTTGCGCGTTTTGAAATGTAATGATAATTATAATAGGTATTGAACACAATGTACCATTTTCCTTTAGCGTTGAACTAACCTTTATTTTGGAAACCCTGCAATCAAGGACTTGTTTTCTTTTTTAAATCAAAATTTTGGAGTATACAAGGTTCGCCAGTAATTTTCCAATGGTCCTACAAAGATTTGCTGCGATTGTCAGATATTTTTATTAACAATTAGGCCAATTATATTGGTTGTTTCATGATGATGTAAACAGCATTTACGGTTATAATGAATCAGGTTGTTGACCCTCTATTATCCCATCCGGGTAGATAAGTTATATAATTTCTTGAAAGTAGTTGAGAAAATCAGGTAAGCAAGATTTTTCCTGGCTTTTCGATTTTTATTTACATTCGAATATAATGAGAACATCGAATTTTATTCAAGTATTTCAGCCTCACAGGTCATCTGACTTGCCAAAAATATTTTTCCTAATTCCTACTGGGTTGGGAGAATTCCACTCAAGTAATGCCAGGTATATTGTTCAGAAACTTAAATAAAGCTATAGTGACCCTTACACTTCAATCTTCCGGAAAGGGGCGCTTATGCAGGTAGAGTTTTAGGAATTTGTCGACATCAGGCTATCTACGAGGGGTTTGTCATTAGTATACTTGAAGCAACAAGCAGAAGCAAACATTCGCCCTTTATTTCAATTGTAAGTTATGTTGTGTTTTTTGTTTTGGCTATGAAATAATAAAGGCGATATCGTCATTACTATTATCATTATATTGTAATCATCGTTGCTGTTTGAACAAAATGACGTTCTATGGTACTTTGGGTTTGTAGTACCTGATCGAATAGAGTACCAAATTAGACCTCTGCTTACTCATATCTGTGATACTCCTGGGAAGCTACGGATTTGTCTAAGAACCATTAACAGACGGGTTTTCAAGGGTCACGTGCGCCATTTTTACTACAATTTGGTAACTATTTGGGGTTCCTAACCTTTGTATTTTGCTTCCTATCAATAAAAGCAATTATTATTATTATATATCTGAAAATTGTATTCATCACAATAAATACTTGTTTTATTAAAATTGTTAATTTTCATTTGAAATTTTTCTTTCACCGGGTCGTAACAAGAAAATATTGAAACTACTATATGCACACTTTATTTATCGAAAAAAGCAGCTATGGTTCTTATGATGCACTGTTTGGAACCTTTGGTGTAGTAATGAATATTACTGGTGTTTTTTTCCCACACCAAATCGTTTTTTTTAACACCTCGACACGTGTTAAAAATAACGAATAAAAGGAAAGGATTAGAAAGACTAAAACTGTTTTAATCTTCCTCTTTGAAGATGATCACTTGGTGATCGAAACACGTGTCGAGGTGTTAAAAATAACGATTTGGTGTGGGGAAAAAACTCCAGTAATATTCAGGTAGGGTTCTGTCAAAAAATATATGCTTAATTAGGGTTTCATGATGGATCAATTAGACTGTGCTATCATCACCTATTCTTGGCCCCTAGGCATTGAAAACTATCGCTGTTGTCACATTCTAGGGACAACTAATAACCCTGGGTGCGTTATCAGTGCGAAGAGATAAAAATAGATTTCCGATGAACACAGTTGTTTATTTGTATTGGGGCTATTTGAGCTAAACATCACTACAAAAACTTCATCTTCTCGAGTTACAGTACCATTCCTCATTTGTTTTCAAAGAGAATGAACATGTCAATTTTCTAAGTAGCTATAGACCGTATTGGAACGAATTACAATGGTACTTTCAGCACAAGAAAATTGGCCACAGTTAGTCGCACAAATTCCTGCTAAGTTTAGGAACTAGCTATTAGAAATGATTCTGGAAAAATAGCAGCTGATTGGTACCTGGATTCGTTCCAAAATGATATCAATATTATAGAGAACGATCCTGTATATAGATGAAATGGTCGTTCTAGATTTCGGGGTCGCTGGATATAACCAAGGGGTGCATTGAGTGGCTTCTTCGGTCACCCGACTTGTGTCCTCTATATTTTTGCATAGACACATGAAAACTAACTGTATCGCACTACACCTGACCTATTGAAAGACCTACAAGGACGAATCATTGATTTATGTTGCGTGTCCTCTGCATTCACTTCATCAATTCGGTAAGTTTTTGAGTGAAATCAATTAAATTTTCGAATTTTTCGAGGAATGTTGCCTCTTTAAAGTTTCATATCTTCTGTACAGTGTACCAATTTTCGAAAACGAAGCTAGAGGGTTAAGAGTTTTGCAGTGGGCCAAAATTTGTACCCCTCACAAACGAATTTGACTTGTTTATTGATTTTTGCAAAAAGTTCTGTCTCGACAGGTGTGCCTTGTGGTATAATTTTGATGCTCCACCCTGTATGTCAAAGAACTTTGCTTTCAAGCTAACAATTAAATATTGAAATTATTGAATATACTAAACAACTAAACGTAATTGGGACATTATATTTGGCTATTTTAAAATTAATTTCAAAAAAAAGGAATGAAAACAAATTATTGTGATCTGAATGGAAAATTAATTGACTACCTATGGATTAAACAGTATTAAATATAAACAATGAAAATATGAACACTATAAAATATCAAGATTAATGATAAAGAATTACAAAAAAATTTAACAATTGGAAATTGTAAAAAGATTTCAAACCAATTTTAATTGTTTAATTATTTTTGTCATTTTTCAAAATTTGTCGTGATGTTTTAGTTCATTGTATTTTTATTTCACTTTTTTATTGAGCCGTCTTCATTTCAGGTCACGATAATTTGTGTTTTTTTCACAAATTAGCATTTTTACAATTTTTTCCTATTTATTCATTTTGCTTTTTTTTTTAAATTACTTGTGCTTCGATTCAACTGAATTACAGCATTTTCAATAATGTTAACATTAAATTAATTTTTATTTTATTTGTTTTTCCATATATGGAAGATGGAAGTGTCAATATACAGGGGAAGCTAGAATAGCCATCACACTCTTTTTCACTGTGTATAAAATTTGGTCTATGACCCAGAGTTTGATTGATGTCTTCATTTTTTCTCTGCCTTTGTAACTTTTAGTGGAGAAGATCAAAACAACATTCATTTTCAGACAATTTTTTCCGAAACAACTTTTTTTCATATTTTTCTATTTTAAAAATTTAATTTCACTCGTCAATCAGTGTGATCTGTAGTATCCATAAAAGATTACAATCATTTTAATCAAGAAATAAATTAACATATCGAGTCTATTCATTTTGTTAAAAATATTATAATATCAATAAAAATATAAGACTAATAAATTTTATCAGCAAATTGCAAAAAATATCAAAAGCAAAATACAAAAGGGTATTTGTTTGGCTTCATTTTTTACTTTAGAAGGTTGCGGTTGCGTTTTTCAATTTACCAAAATTGTTATAAATCCTAAAAAAGTTCGGCTATTCCGCCTTGAATATTTAAAATGTAGGTTTGTTCATAGTCACCAAAAGGCGGATAACTTTTGGACCCACACTTGTAGCATGGGATCATTGGTGTTTCATAAAAGCCAATATATCTACTATATTGATCTCTAATTCACTATTATTACTATTATTTTCGAAAATAATCGGAGCCATCTAGTTCTGTTTTCAAACATTTGTTTTCAAATTTGGAACGATGCAACGTACAACAACGAATCAATCAAATAAAAATGCTAAAATGAACAGAGAAGACAGAAAAGAAGAACAGCTGCAAACCTCGTTTCGTTTTTATTCCACTATCGCTGGAAAAGTACAGCAATCGGTCGGGTCCATTCTATTCTAGCTAGAGGGGAGTCAAGCCATGAAAGCGAGACAGAAATAGCGTGTCGTAAGCACGACGAGCATTCCAATGCAGTGAAACTAGAAATTACAGGTTTAGGAATGAAATGGAACGATTAATTGTAAAAAATAATGGAAAGGATTTGTTATCAGCAGTTTCTTCCATTTTGACATTAAGGATGAGGGAGTCTACAAAGAAGTTGTGCCTATATAGGCACTCACTGATGCCAGTGAAATGTTTAAAACGTAAATTGAAACTCCTAATTAACCTTGAGGTTGTCCTGTTACTGTCAGAGGTCAAAAACCGAACTGCGCTCGGTTTCACATACTGATTTATTTTTTGTGCAAGTTTTCATTCAAGCCTATTCTGGCTGGATCCTGTACACACCTCAGGTTGAGAACATTTCAAGGATTCGACGTGAAGGTTCTGAAAACTGATGACTCCAATCAAGCGTTCAGCTTATTGAACTAAATATCCGATCTAGCCAGGTTTAATTGTCCCCATAAGCAGCCTATCTCTTCGAAAACAGAGGGATC